GCATTTTATTTTTTTTGGTATATGTTTATATATCTATAAAAATTAGAATCATGATTAATGAAGATAACCATTTTATTTTTTTGTAATCATGCTAGTGCTTACTTAATCATAATATTCTTTTATATTATTGCAATAAGTGCAAAATGCTTGGGTCATACTTCATTGATAATGGTGTGCCTTCTATGAAATTTCTCCTTGAATTGATAAGTTCATATATAATTTGGAGAATACATCTTGCAATGCTTACTTCAAAATGACTTGGATGAATAACCGCTTCAAAATGATTTGAAAAAAATACTTGCTAAGAATGCTTAATGATGATTTTTTTTTATAATTTCTACTTGAGTTGCTATTTTTATATATGAATTAAAGAATTTCCTAAAAATACTTGATTGATACTACTTGGCTGATCGATATTGAGAATAAATAATGAATGCTTGATGATGATTAATTATTGATAGTATTTGATGATAATTGATAATGATGTTTGAATATGAATAATATCTTAGACATGCCTAAGAACTACTTTGCAAATATTTCTTGAAAATATGAGTATTTGATGCATATGTTGAACATCTATTCAAATGCTCATACTTTTTTAATTCCATGATATTTGAGTATTAGAAAAATAAATTGAATATCCATTTGAATGCTCATTTATTTTAGGCTTATGATTTCTCTCCTTATATTTGATCTATTAAGAATCTTTAACAATTGTTGTTGAGCTTATGATTTCTTAAAAGGGAGTTAATAATTGTTATTGATATCATGAGGAATTGAGATCTTCAACAACAAAGTTTAGTGAGAAGTTAACATTTGGAGTTCTTAACTACACGTAACATCTTTCTAAACATCAAAATTGATATTGTGCTTTATATTGCTTCTCACTTAAACTTGAATATTGAAATGCATAATTGGTATCAGCCTTAAGTTTGCTCAATTAGTATCTAGCTTCAAAATTAGCATCAAGCTTTAGAATTGTCTCTTCTCACATGAGCTTTAAATTCATCATATCTTTCTTAAATGTGTTTAAACCTTGAAGTTGATATGCTTAGAATGCTTAATGATAAGAGAAGTCTTTACTAGTACTTTATCAATTGATAT